GTCCTTATCTTAGTGGTCAAGGGTTATAAACAAGGCATTGGAGGCTTGTGGTCTATTATGCAACGTGGACCAAAGTCTAGAGGGATAGTTTTAAGATAGTTTGGGGACGCAATATAATTTTCCAAGGATAAATTCTAGATGACCACTTGGTTTAGGTTCCTCGGATTTCTCCCGGTCTTACTCATATTGCCTTTCGGGTTAAAACTTAACACGCAATGTACCCGTGGATTTAGATTTGTAGAAATAGAATTAGTCCCTATAATTTTTATGCAACTTATAAACAAATCAATTAGGAAGATTATTCGTCTTTCAGGTTCAAGCATTAGATTGTTATTTACATGTTAAACACATAAGAAGTATCAAGAAACACACACAAATGCACAATGGATCAATAAAATGAGAAGTCAAGAAAACATACCGTACCAGTGGGCGCAAGGTGGGCGGTCGACCGCCTGTCAAGTCCCCACTGGAATGTGGCAGTGGGCACATGGTGGGTGGTCGACCTCCTGCCAAGGCCCCACTAGAACGTGACGGTGAAGAAGGAATCACTTCGGGAAATTCCAGAGAATGCACAGATTTGAATCCAAACAATTCCATACTCATATGAACAATAAAAGGGACTTAAATGCATGGAAAATCTTAAGAAATCACATTATTATTACACTAACAAGGAACACGGAGGACATTCAATGAGATATCATAAGGATCACACACCCCATTCTCCCCCTTCTTAACTAAAGCTACGCTCCCATAATGTTCCTCCATGCAAACTGATGTAAGTACTTATCGAGCTATTACTAAGTTAATTATCAAAGTAATTGGTCAATTATGATTTACGAAAAGTGAGCTATTATATGCCGAATAAAATTACCAATTACAAGTTCCAAAATACTTTGTCAAATAATAGATATCCAAATAACGCACGTTTGATCAATTAGTTAAGCAACAATATGCAATTCCTGACTCGGTCTAAATCAATTAGGAACATAATCCAACTTTCATGTTCAAGAAAATAAACAAGTATGGTATTTAAACAAAATCGATAGTTTATCAAGTTTTAGTATGTCAAAGTAAATTGTTAGTAATCAAAGAGTCATATGCAACAAGGCAGGTAATAGTATGCAAGGATGTCACAACTTTTAGGGCAAGCATAAGGAAGGAAGAACAAGTATGTGAGAAAGAGCGATAAACTCACAATCTCAACGCGCATCCTAAGATCCCTATATCCTAAGTTCCTAAACACCTGAAGGTTAAGCTTAGCGTTCTAAAGTTCAAGCCTAATGTCTTAAAGTCTTATCCTAAAGGCATTGTCTTAGGGTCGAACTTAGGCTCTGATACCATCTGTAACACCCCGAAATTTTTATAACTTTTTAATCTTATAAAATGAAAGCAATTCTATTAATCAATCCCAAAAAGAGCATTCTAAACATAAGGGTCTGGGGTGTTATGCCACATCTGAGCTGGAGAACTCAGATGCACAGGCTACATTAACTAATTATCCTCAAATTACATCATCAAGGCACGCAGGCCGAAAGGAAAGACTAAATATCTAAGCCTAGGTCCTCTAGCGCGCTCCGGTAGCTAATCCTCTGTGCTTGAAAGCCAAATATATCTGTTCATCGAATAATGCTGGTAACCCACTCCAACGCTTTAAAATACAATATAGGTATATATATGTACATAAATATAGAAAACCATTTTGAAGCTGGAAGATATATACTTAGGAGACTCTAGCTTTAAAACCAGGAATAGACTTGACAAGTAGGGACAAACACATTCAACGGTCATAATCAAGAATGTAAAGACATCATCACATATATATCCTAAGGTCATAGGTTACTTTCATGTCATTCATATCATCTTTCAATCAATATCTTTATCACACAAGCACACTTTGGTGGCGCCACGGGACCAATCGCATGCCCATACATGAGGGTTAGTGCATATAGCGCTAACACGGCCCCGCAGCACCCTACCTCATACCGAAGCATGAAGGGGCTGACTGCAGGCAACCGATGAACCGTAGTCCATTAAACCGTTGACAAGCTTAACAGCGGACCACAACCCTACACATCGTTGACGAGCTCAATCGGTGGGTCGTGGCCCTTTTGTGGACTGCAGCCCTACATACCGTTGACGAGCTCAATCTGTGGACTGCAGCCCCTGTAAAACTGTTGGCGGACCACAGCCTTACACACCGTTGATGAGCTCAATCGGTGGACCGTGGCCCTTTGGTGGACTGCAACACTACACACTGTTGACGAGCTCAATCGGTGGATTGCAGCCCATGTAAAGCCAATTTGACCGCAGCCAATATTGGGGAGTCATGCACATATAACATGTAGCAAGCACATGCAATCCATATTAACACATTTGGAGAAGGGAGAAAACATATAATGAAACCTATACGTGGTCATCCACATACAAGGAATAGTCATAAGGGGTTCATACATCTTTCACCTGTGTTACAGGGTACCAATTCAACTAGCATACAATACACAAGACTCTTTTATTTTAAGAACGGTACATGAAATATCAAACTAGACTCAGGCACGATAAACGGAGTTCGTTGGGACACCACGAGGGTCGGGGAAACATCAAACGGGAAAGCTAACGTTCCGAAGAGGGAAAAATCCAGCGGGTGGCCGGCGGGTGGACCTCCACCCGCCGGCGGCAAGTCTCCGGGCAGCGGGTGCCTAGCGGGTAGTCGTCTGCCCGCTGTCGGCGATGCCAATTTGGGCAGCGGGTAGGTGGCGGGTCCCCCTACCCCCTGTGATACCCCATATTTTCTGGGCACTGTACGAAGACCGTACGTGCGTACGTGACTAAATTATTTAGAGTCTCTTAATCCATATTATCTTGGGAATATTATTCTTTGAGCCTAATAACTTCCTAATCCTAATATAATATGTACATAAGATATATTTTTCCTAATGATAATAATTATTTAAATATATATATGTCCTAATCCAAATATATATACAATGTCTTCCTATATGTAAATATATACATATATACATATATACAAATATATATAGGTACGTATGAATCTAGCTTCCTATATATATATATATATATATATATATATATATATATATATATTTGTATGTATATAGGTACGTATGAATATATAACACCTTTGAGCATATAAATATATACTGTAAGTAATTCTTGCATATATGACTTCCTTAGCCTATTACAGCAGTACGTACTAACCCTAATATATAAACCCTCCTTTTTTTCCCTAATCCTAATTTATATCATTCTCATCGTCTCCTTTGTCACAATACTGTCGAACAAAAAGATAATAAGATACGTAGCCTTCTTCTTCAATCGATTGGTTTTCTCCCTCTGTCGTTATCGGGTTCTCTCCTCTGTTCACCGTAGGGATTCAAGGATTTTTTTGATATTGGGAATCCAGGTAAGATTTATGTTCACTAAAATCCTTTTACCCTAAATCAAAAATTGATTTTACTAATTGTTTATGTGATTCGTGATTTTGAAAAATTGATGATATTTATTGTTTTAAGTTATTTGATTATATTATGTAGGTAGATATATGAGTTTAGATGTTTTGAAAATCCTGCATATGTGATAAGGTGATTTTGTGGTGATTAAAAAGGAAACATTTTACTCAATTTGTTCATTGCCTGAGAAAATTCTGACTGGCGCAGCTGGAAAGAAAAATTCATAAACAAATGCTTCCTAAACTTATTTTTGCTTGATATTTTCTATGGAGAACCTAGGCTTGTTATATTTGATGTTTGTAAAAAGTTTTGGTTAAAAATATGTCTCTGTTTTTTCAGAATAATTTCGTAAAGTTGAGGCAGTCTTCTGCCAGTTAAATTACAGTCTGGCGCTGTGTTGAGAAGAATTTCAGGAAAAATACTATTAGGCCTTGGATTGGCTTGAAAGTTTTTGTGTGTAGTGTAGACTCACTGTACCTATTATCTGTAAAATTTCATGTGAGAATGTGTTACCGATTTTTCTTAGTAAATTTTGCAATTCAGGTCATATCTTCTGGAAATATTTCTGTCAGTTCCTTATTTGAGGTGTTGAGAATTTTCTTTCTTGGGAAATATCAGTAATGTTATCATCTTTATAAAGATGGATGATAAACGAAATTGATTCTTAAGACTTGTGTAGTATCCTGTTGTGAAGTTCTGGATGCTTGGGCTGTGACCCAGTTTGTTCTGGAGTGAGCGGTTGAATATACCGACTCACTAGGGAGCTTGAAAACTCTCTCACTAGTACAAAATTGAACATAGAAGATTGATCATAGACTGGCAATTTATATCCTACACCACGGCGCGCGTTGCACTATGCACCCAGATGCAAAACGACGTCGTTTTAATTTTTTTTTTTTTTGAAATTTCCCGTCCCAGTGAATGGCAGTAGTTTTTTCTTAAAAAAAAAAACCCGCTGTTCAAGAATGTACATAATGTTATACTAGAATACACATAATGTTATACATGAATGTACATAATTATATAACAAAATATACATACTCTTTTTAAAAGATAATACACATAATCTAACATAATACATAATAAACATAAACTTTTAACATAATACACATCAACTATTAACATAATACACACAAATTTTCTGATTCGGATGTACATAATTGTATAAAAAGAATGTACATAATTGTATAAAAAATACACATAACTGTATGAACCAATACACATAACGTTGTGAAAAATACACATAACGTTGTGAACAAATACACATAATCTCAGCAACTTCCTACCGCGCCTCCCAACACTACCCAAAACGACGTCGTTTTGGGAGGCGCGCGGCGCACAATGCTATGTCCACCGTGGTGTAGGATATAACGATTGTCATAGACTACCATTGTTGAAAGAATGGTGGCCTAATCTTAACCCAAAAATTCGTGGGGGCAATTTTGTAAATAAGTGATCAATAATCCGCCACCATTGTTAGCTATAATGGTTGCCCATTGTATTTTGTATTTATTTTTAAAAAAATTGATTTATAATAGGCAACTATTTCTAATAGAAATGGTTGCCTTAAAATAGAACTTGTTTTATAATAGGCAACCATTCCTAATAGAAATGATTGCCTAAGATTAACCCTACATCTATGCAAATCATCGAATCAGATCAGACGATCGACCTCGACTTGGCCTGGTGAACGAAATACTCCATCGAATCAGAAAACATCCATCGATCTGCCGACGTCGACGCTCCTTTCGACCTGCCGTTGCTCTCGCCCAGCGACCCATCGCCACCACGCGATCTGCGCCCGTCCGATCTGCTCCCATCCGACCTCGATCGACGCTCCGTTCCGAACGCCGCTGCTATCGCCCGGCGACCCACCGCCACCACGCTGTTGGCGGAGACCACGTCCACGACTCACCGCGACGCACCGCCACACGCACAGCACCACGACGCGCCGCCATCCCCGCCGGCGCCACTGCCGCCTCCCCTTGCCGACGCACAGCAAAAATTAGGATTTCTCTTGCTGTCAGTGTCCTACCATCTGGAAAATCCCAATGTATAGTAACATCTATTTTACATATATATATATATATATATATATATATATATATATATATATATATATATATATATATATATATTCTCATCTGCACAATTGAATGTTAGAGCTTAATTACGGGATAGTTTTCTGAGAATTGTGTGTGCAATTTATATATGAACAGAATGGATCAGTAGAGAAGAAAGAGGGTGGAACATTGTTGAGCCATTTTTCTAGGGTTTTGCGCACAATTCTGGAGGAGTTAATCTCACCTCCAACTGTTGGAGCTGTGAGTTCGTTTCTTTTTTTTTTTCTTTTCAATTATTTCTGCTGAGTTTTTGCATTATATTGTGTCTGTTTCTTATAGCTTTTTGTATAGTGTAGTATTTCTTTATTATTCACAATGATCTTTGGCTTTATATCCAGTGCCTTCAATGCTCATGCTTTGGGAGCTTTAGCAGAGGTTGCTGGACCTTGTCTTGATGCCCCCCTTGGGTACCATCCTTCCTGCTTTACTCACTGCAATGGGTTATACTGTAGTAACCTAATTTTTATGCCATAATGCCATTTACTTGGTTTCGTCTTTCACATCATTTAAATTTTGAGTCATTGCTTAATTTGATTTGTGTTTTTTTATCATTGCACAATTTGCATGTGTCATGCTTTCATCTTGAAAATATCGGAGGTTCAATGTCTTGCCAAGAAAGCAGCAGAAACTGTTGTCACTGTAATTGGCGAGGAAGGTATCAAGTCTTTGCTGTTGGGGCTTCTCAAAGGAGTTGGAGATATTCAGGCATGATTTATTGTTTTACATAATGATAATGTGACTTTCTTTTCTTTGAATTACATTTTTTAGCTAACACTATTTAAGTTTTATTCTTCAGGGCTTCAGTCAGACAAAGTTCTGCATACTTTATTGGATATTTATTAAAAACCAGTTATCTATATCTTGTTGATGAGGCTCCAAATGTGATATCCACCCTGATTATTTTACTAAGTGATTCAGATTCAGCTACCTTGACGGTATTATTTTGATTCATTGCATGACATTTATACAATGCACTTCAATGTACTAGTTTACCCCTAGCATTTTTTTTATCTCATTGATTGCATCCACTTTTCCTTCGCCAGGAGATCCAAAAGCAATACCTTGGACTCACCTCTCCCCCATGAGAACTGCTGCTGATGTCCAAGCTGGAGATGTATATTGCTGGCCAAAAAATTTGGGATGGGTGATGGGGCCAACTTTAGTATATGCTTGCTTTTTGACTGGTGCAACTCTGGTACTCTATCATGGATCTCCTTTAAGCCGTAGTTTTGGAAAATTTGTTCAGGTGATTCACTAACCTCTGCATTTAACTTGCAAGGGATCATTATTTGTAAATAAAATATTTTAGATTTATGGAATACACTTGCTATTATTATCATCCTTTTGTGTGATAGATTGGATTCATCTTTCCGCAATGATTGGGACTACGACAGTTTAGTACGGAGTATAATATTGCATTCTTTTTTTGGAATTTATAATGACAATTGATGGAAAGTTTCTTGTAGGAACAATGCTATTTTGCAAGCACTTTACAATGAACTAGTGAAGGACCACATCTAAAAACTGACCTTATTTCTTCCTTCTATTATACCAGGATGCAGGCGTAAGTATTTTGGGCACCGTTCCTAGTTTGGTGAAGGCCTGGAAAAGCACAGACTGTATAAAAGGCCTAGACTGGACAAGAATAAGGTACTCTTTTTACTAGCTTTTGAACAAAATATTATGTACACGCATCTAACAACCAGTCCACTACATAAAAGAAGACTAAATAACAAGAATATGCAGGGTATTTGCTACTACTGGAGAAGCCTCTAATGTTGATGATGACCTATGGCTTACTTCGAGGGCCTACTATAAACTCATTGTGGAATGTTGTGGTGGCACAGAGCTTGCATCCACCTACGTTGCAGGAAGTCTTTTGCAGCCACAAGCTTTTGGAACATTTAGCTCAGCATCTATGGCTGTTGACTTTGTCATCTGTTAGGAATAAATTGTAATAGATTTTGATATGTCATATTGTAAATCGTAGATCCCCAATTTTATTTTATTAGACTAGTCGAGTCATAGACCAAGAAAGGGAAAATTAAATTCATTAGTTGAGGAAATGGATGAAGAAGAGATAAAGCCAAAAATCAAGAATTTGCCTAGAGAAAATGGCAAACAAAAGAGGAAGATGTATGCGTATGATATTCAAGAAGAAATCCCTCAAGAAATCCCGAAGAAGAAAGAACGTGACTTAAAGTTTGCATGAAGCTATCTTGAAGATCAAGCATCTATGGAAAGAAAGGAGTACACCAAGTGAAACAAGAAGATAACCAAAAAGTTGTACGGATGAGTTGGTAGAAGCTTGAATTATTATATGCAAGGTCACAGGTTCGAATCTCACATCCCACATTTTTTAAAGAAGCCAAGTTTAAATTCCATCATATAAAGTATGAGGCGATGGTTTGGCCGAAAGGATGCAATTTGCAAAGTCAGTCAAAATTGACTAAGGGATGAGATTGCAAGTCCAAATCAAAGTCAGTCAAAATTGACTAAGGGATGAGATTTCAATTGACAAATCTAGCAAGATTGTAATTCCAAATCAAGTAAGGGATGAGATTTCAATTGACAAATCTAGCAAGAGATTGCAAGTCCAAATCAAGTAGATGAGATTTCAATTGACAAATCTAGCAAGGGATGAAGTTTCACAAGGGAAGAGATGAAGTCTGGAAGCAGTATACTGACCCAGACATGAATAAGAAGAAGCTGGAGATTATATTTTGAATATAAAAATCCCGTGATCTACACCAGATGGAGATTTATGGGACGCCAGTTTTGAGAAATCCTCAAGCTCAACTTGCAGAGAAATCTCTGACATATCTGCAACGTTATCTTATCCTCTGACAAAAGGCTATACAGCTAAGAGAAATTCAAAAATGAGAACGTTTCTCTCCAACGGAAACATTCTCATTACCAGCTATAAAAGGATGAAGATTGAAGCAGTGGAAAGCAGGGGCGAACAAAAAGAAGCAAGAATACAAGAAGCGAAAAGAACAGAGCTAAACAGAGCATAAAAAATTCAAAGAAAGCTTTCCATCTCAAGAGCTTAAATTGATATATTCTTTGTGAGATAAACACTCAGAGTTATACAGAGCTTACAAAAGAAATATCCAAGAGTGTTAGAATCTTCATCAACTTCAAGAGACTCAGCGCACCATTGAAGATCATCTACAGAGTCTCAAAGTTGGAATCAAGGCAAAACTTGTTTTGGAGCAAAACAAGGGAAAGGAGGAAAGTAACACGGAGTTGTGAAATCCTGGATTGTCAACGGAGTTGTGAGATCCAAAGCAGCAGTGTCGGAGGACATTGGGCGTGATTGGTGCGGGCTTTGTGATCAAAGCACTAGATCACGGGATACGTTTCTACCGGATCGTAGAAGACAAGGGCAAAGTAACGCGGAGTCGTGAAATCCTGGGAAAGTAACGCGGCGACGTGAAATCCGAAGCAGCAGTGTTGGTGGCACTGGGCGTGATTATTGTGGGCTTGGTGATCAAAGCACTAGATCACGAAATTCATTGTATCTTGGAACCAAGAAGTGGTGGATATAGTGAATTGCTCTTGGAGATAAGAGCAAGTGGAGTAGGAGGATTACACCACCTCGCGAACCACTGTAAATTGCCATGTGTTCTTTACTGCTTTCTTTACTTACTGCTCTTGCTTGCTTCTGACGAGAATAATCTTGACACAATCTACACACACACAGTATCGTTTATTAATTTCCGCTGTGCACCATACTCTAACAATCTAGTTAAGAGTTTTGGTTTATCTCTGGCTTAGCAATTGTGGTACTGTGCTAAAAACTTTGAAAGTCTATTCACCCCCCCCCCCCCCCCCCCCCCCTCTAGACTTTCACCATACCTCTTTTGGAACCAACAATTGGTATCAGAGCCTGTAGCCTATTTGAGTCAAATTTGTTTCAAAGCAAGTTGTCTCTTTGGGTCAACCTTGTTTCTGACTGCTAGGCAGATCCATCTTACCCAGTGTGTGTAAATTTGATTATTTGTCTCTCGTATCTACCGAGAAGATGAATAAAGATTTAGCTCGAAATCTATTATTCTCGCTTGATAAATTTGATGATTGGAAAGTTCGTATGCAAGTTCATCTATCAGCTTTACACGATGAAATGTGGGAAGTTATTTCCACTGGCCCGATCGAAATATTGAAAGTAAATACGGCTTTTCTTCTATTTCCGGATGCTCAACAATTCGTACCAAAGCCAAAACCGGAATGGACATCGGATGATAGAAAGAGGAACAATCTTGACAACATTGCCAAAGATATTCTGTTCAAAGCCATTGATGATACAATATTCCCAAAGGTTCGAAAATGTACAAATGCAAAAGAAATTTGGGATACTCTCATCAAGATCGGAGAAGGAGATGAACAAGAAAAAAGATAACAAGCTCACTATTGCTATGAAGAAGTTCGAGGACTTCAAAATGCTTTCAAATGAATCCATTGTTGATATGGAAGCTCGAATGATCAAAATCCTTGGAGAAATTAATGACCTTGGCAAAAATATTAGCCAAAAGGAAATTAATCTCAAAGTTCTACGAGGCTTACCATCTACATGGGATATGAAGGTTACGGCAATGCGAGATCACCGAGATCTAAGAATATTGGCAACCGACAAATTATTTAGTGATCTTAAAGCATATGAGTTCGAAATGAAGGCCAAAGATGATGATGTTCAAGAAATTCGAAATCCAGCTCTAATGGCCGAACAACCATCAACCTCCAGGTCAGTAGATAATATTGATTTTATAACTGACGAACAATTTGCTCTTTTTGTTTGAAAATTCAAAAGATTCATGCGAAAAGGAAACAACAAAAATTCTGCTCGTGGTAAATTTGTCTCTCGCACGACACAAGAAGAAAAAGTCGAAGAAAACAACAATTTATGCTACAATTGCCGCAAACCCGAACATTTCAAAATAAATTGTCTGTATCCGATCGTTAGCAAGTATCAAGGCATAAATGTTGAATCTACACCGAATAAATCCGAAAGCAAAGATTGAAGGTTCAAGCGCGACAAAAGAAAAGCTCTCGTGAGTAACGAACCAAACGAAAATGATGAGTCGAATGGATTGTCATCAAGTGAGTTGAGTTCAAGTGAAGAGTGCTTTATGGCTCTTGGAGCAGAGGAAGAAGAGGTAACATCTAATTCTTTCAATTCTGTTAATTCCTCTTTTTCTCGTGAATCTATTGGCAGTCTAATGCGAGATTGTCAAGAGATTATGCTCACTCATCCTCAACTCAAGGAGCGCAATAATATTCTAATTTCTGAAAAAGAAGAGATGAATAAAAAATTGCAAGATGCTTTACTTGAAGTGAGTAACTTGAAAAGTGAAAATATTCACCTTCAAGAAGAGTGTAAAGCAAGAGAGGTTAGAGAACATAACCTTCGGGCTACCATTGCTACGTTTACTAATTTGTCCAAAATTATGGATAAAATGGTAAACATGCAAAAGCCATCAGGAGATAGAACCGGAATCGGTTATGACTCCACATGTTCTCAAACCCCTCCGAAACTGACTAATTCTACTACTCCTTTAACCAATAAAGTGCAAGTGGTAAAATTTGTTAAAAGTCAGTATAGCACAATGAGACAAGGACTTGGCTATCATGAGAAAGCAAAGTTGAATGTTGAAAGGCCGAAACAGTTCAATACTACGGCAAAGCAACAAAAATTCTTCAAGCAAAGATATGCCAAAGAGTCAAGTGCAAAAAGAATTTTTAGAAAAGAGAGAAGCTTTTCTAGAAATAGAGATGGAAGATTTTATTCCACTCAAAAGGATTGGTTGTGTAAATCTTGTTTTAATGCTTCTTATAGACAAAAGCAACAATCCTCTTCCCGGGTGCCTAAGTTTAAAAATGTTTTTCAAAATCCGACGCCAAAAATGTTTTCAAAAGTTAATTATGATTATCGTGTTTCAAATGGTTACAAACTGCCTTATCTTAATTCAATAGGATCAAGGTGGGTTTGGTTACCAAAAATTACTAACAGCAAAGGACCCAAGCAAGTATGGGTATCTAAAACCAACTAATCTTTTTTGTAGGATGTTTGGTACATCGACAGTGGTTGCTCACGCCACATGACTAGAAATAAATCATGTCTAGTGAATTTCAAGAAAATCGATGGACCAAAAGTTATATTTGGAGGAAATCAAAATTATGGAACTACAAAAGGAGTTGGTACAATTGAAAGAAATGGTTTAAAGATCGAAGATGTTTCGTTTGTTGAAGGCCTAAAATTCAATTTGTTGAGCACTAGTCAATTTTGTGATAAAGGCTATCTTGTGGAATTTTCCAAAGATAATTGCCTAATCAAAAATGAGCTCTCAAATGAAGTTGTGCTCACTGGAAAAAGGCGAAAGAACATGTATATTGTTGATTGGAGCACAAGCAAAGATTCAGTATGCTTAATGGCCAGAAATTCGAATGAAGCAAATTGGGAATGGCACAAAAAGCTCAACCATTTAAACTTCAAGACTATCAATCAGCTTGCAAAGAAAAATCTAGTTGAAGGACTACCAAGTATTATCTTCAAAAAGGACCAAGTGTGTGATGCATGCCAACGCGGAAAGCAAATCAAATCATCATTCAAGTCTAAGACGCACGAATCAACATCAAGACCGCTAAGCTTGCTACACATGGACTTATTTGGACCGGTTGATCCAATAAGTGTAAGTGGTAAGAAATATACTCTTGTTTTTGTTGATGATTTTTCCAGGTACACTTGGACCGTGTTTCTCAAGAAGAAAAATGAAGTTGAACAAGTGTTGCCAAAGCTGTTGAAGCAACTAGAAAATAAGAAAGAATTGCAAATATCAAAAATCCGAACGGATCGTGGAACCGAGTTCGTGAATGGAGTTATACAAGCTTTTTGCAATTCACATGGAATTTCTCATCAATTATCTGCCGCTAGAACACCA